TTTCTAATAGAGGTAATTAGCTCATTAAGTCCTCTGTGGTAAGGAATTCATCCTGTGCTAGAAGAAAAATGATAATATTAATCCTTGAGGTCACTGGTATGAGGCAGTTGTGGTCCCATCATTCAGAGAAGCTTGGTCAGTGGTAGGTTCAAACTTTTTAAATACTAATAATGTTTGGCTTTCACTGGTATGAAATAGCTGTATAGGAAATCTAAAAATCTGTGGTCATTGGTGTAAAAATAGCTTTAGTACAAATTTTCAAGTACTAATAATGTTTGGCTTTCGCTGGTAATCCTTCTGAGAAATCTGAAAATCTATGAAAAGTAATGAAATCACACATTCAGGTAAGTAAAATAGGAGGAAAAAAATCATATTTCAGACTCTGTTCTTAGCAGAATACAGTCTGAAGTAGTACAAAATACCTCAGCAGGGGTAAGCAACACACACATAAGTAAAGATTTAGCAATACCTTCCCACTTCACCCGACCTTGCTTCCAGCTTCCAGCTGGAACCATCACCCTCATCTTCTGCAGACCAGCCATCATCGCTGCAGCATTCTCCAGGCCAACCGCCATCATCACTGCTGTCATCTCCAGACCAGCCATCCATCACTCCTGTTCCTGAGTTCCCTGAGGAGTTTGAGGACCAACCACTTCCATTCTCAGAGCTCTGCCGAGGGTTCCAGCGGTTCCTGCAACGCTCCCCAGGGCTCCTCCATGGGTTCAGGTCTCCATCGCGGCCTCTCGGTCGGTTACCAGATGAGGTTCTCTTTTGTCGACCGCCTGACGGGGTCTCCGAGGGTCCTCAGCACATCGGGGCCGACACCCAGACACGCTTCTTCGTGGGTTCTCCTGGTTTCTCTGCTGGCCTCCAAGGTTCCTGATTCACTGGGTTCCCGGAGGGTCTTTTAGGCCTCTCTGCGGCCAGCTTCCTTGTGGCCAACCTCCAGACCGAGTCTCCAGAGGGTCCTCTACGCCTCTCCGTGGCCGACCTCCAGAAAGGGTTAGACCTCCACATCAGCTTTGCAGAGGGACCTCTACTCGGTGTTGCCGGCCTCCAAAGCACCTCCATAATCGTCAGCCTCCAGACCACCTGCTCCATCTCAGCCGGCCTCCAGGTCCACGTCATCCCTGCCGTCGCCGGCCTCCTAGACTCCTCAGTCGCCGCGGACCTCCTAGACTCCTTCTCAGCCAGCCTCCAGGTCCACGCCATTGCCAACACCTCTGGCCTCCTGAACTCTGTGCCTCGCCGTTTTCATGGTTTCCTGCTGACATGATGAATATGGATCCACTGGAGTGTGCAAGGATTATTACACACCAAAGTGGGGCTGCAGGGTGGCACAGTTGGTAGCACGGTTGCCTTGCAAAAAGAAGGCCCTGGGTTCAAATCTCAGTGTGAGGTCTTCTGCATGGAGTTTGCATGTTCTCCCGATGTCCTTTCCCTGTCCCCATTCCCTCTGGGTACTCTGATTTCCTCCCACCTTCTAAACAGATGGATGGACGGACGGATGGATGGATGTTTTCCATAGCCTGTTTACACTTTTCTGCTCAGCTTTTTGTTTTGGCTATAGTGATCTGATGTGTAAGTTTGAATGCTTTGATCAACCAACCAGTACCAATAGAGCCTCTAGCTGATTCTGATTTCTGTATTATGCTATACAGAAGTTTATACAAAATATTTCTTCTAGCCTTCCTGGAGCAGTCATTAGTTATTTATATATACAGTGCCTTGCGGAAGTATTCGGCCCCCTTGAACTTTTCAACCTCTTGCCACATTTCAGGCTTCAAACATAAAGACATGAAATTCCAATTTTTTGTGAAGAATCAACAACAAGTGGGACACAATCATGAAGTGGAATGACATTTATTGGATGTGTCAAACTTGTTTAACAAATAAAAAACTGAAAAGTGGGGCGTGCAATATTGTTCGGCCCGCTTGCGTTAATACATTGTAGCGCCACCCTTTGCTGCAATTACAGCTGCAAGTCGCTTGGGGTATGTCTCTATCAGTTTTGCACATCGAGAGACTGAAATTCTTGCCCATTCTTCCTTGCAAAACACCTCAAGCTCAGTGAGGTTGGATGGAGAGCGTTCGTGAACAGCAGTCTTCAGCTTTTTCCACAGATTCTTGATTGGATTCAGGTCTGGACTTTGACTTGGCCATTCCAACACCTGGATACATTTATTTGTAAACCATTCCATTGTAGATTTGGCTTCATGTTTTGGATCATTGTCTTGTTGGAAGATAAATCTCTGTCCCAGTCTCAGGTCTCTTGCAAACTCCAACAGGTTTTCTTCCAGAATGGTCCTGTATTTGGCCCCATCCATCT